GAAGCTGCATTGTTGGACGCTGACAACAAAACGGACGCTCTGCAAATTAGAGAAAAGGCACTCTTAATAAGAGCCATAGCAGCAGAAAATATACAAAAAAGACAAGGAAAAGATAAGGGACGAACGACATAGAGAATTAGATTTCGTGGTTGGAGACAAAGTTAAGGTGTTCATACCAATTAGAAAGGTTGGAAGAAGCGAAAAATTACTCTTAAGATGGTTTGGACCATACAAAGTAATAAGAAAAATGGGAGAAGTGAATTACGAGGTACAAAAGATTGGAAGCAGAAAAAAGGATACGGTCGACGTGAGTAGGATATTAACCTACTACGATCCATGGACAGAAGCTGCGCCTATTGAAGAAAGGGCAGATGAGATAGATATAGCTGAAAACGCAGAATCTAAAGTTGATGAGGATGAAGACGACGAAGATAAAATTGAAGAGGAAATGGGAAGCAGTGAAGCAGAAAACGAAGAAGAAGAAGACTGATTGTACAGATAAAACATAGGCAGAACTATACAGGGTGTATATTTTAAGTGATACCACTATTGCTATATCCGAAACGGTAAGAGCTACAAGGTCGGTTAAATTAGAAAAAAGGTGCCTTTTTTGATGCCCATTCCAGATTTGTTTACAGTGTTGCCAAATTCCTTTTAGTTCATGAAATACAGGGTGATTTCCAAAAAACGCTCAAAATTATTTCATCAATTATTTCGAAAACGATTGATATTCGATCATCAACTTCATTTTTTTAAATACGGACCTGGATATTTTATGTCATTTTTAGAAAGAGAATGAAGGGCGCTTTCCAAAGATGGCATAAAAAATTCATGTCCGTATTTAAAAAAATGAAGTTGATGATGGTGGCTCGATCACGAACCGTCGAATTTGAAATTTGAAGATGCCATGTTGTAGAGCGGAAAAAATTATAAAACTTTCAAATTTAAATTGTGTCTTGAAAATCAATAGATTCCGAAATAATTGATGACATATTTTTGGGCGTTTCTTAGAGATCACCCTGTATTTCATAAACCTAAGGAAATTAGGCAACACTGTTAACAAATCTTGAATATGCATCAAAAAAGGCAACTTTTTTCTAATTTAACCGTACAAGGTCGGTTAAATTAGCTCTTACCGTTTCGGATATAGCAATAGTGGTATCACTTAAAATATACACCCTGTAGAGGAGGAAAATAGAGATAGGATGAAAAAATAGAGTAAGACATTAAATAGAGTAAACAAGGAGGGATGGAGGTGAATGACAGCTCAATATAAGAGGAAACTAGTGCATGACCTCATAATTCTAGGGGAAGATCGAGAATATGAATTACTATGAAAGAAGAAGAATCAGAAACATTCTTATCGACGGAAGAAGCCGCCGAAGGGATTTTAGAAAAGTACGAGCTGCAAAAAGAAGGCATATGGGTATACAAAAAATAAGTTGGACTAAACTTACCTGTTGGAGCCATGATCAACAAATAACCAAATGATGAAATTTGGTGGCCCGAATGTGGGTCATAATTAAACTATGTAATTATAGGAATAAGCACATTTTTTTTAAATATTATTTTATTTTTTGCATGTATATACGAAACAACAACCCAGGAAACGACACTTAGACCGTGGGACCGATCACCCCACGATCTAGCTGACCAAATCACCAGGAAGTACTTGGAGCCAGAACCAATCCACTTGAAAGACAGAATACAGCACAATGAACAAGAAAGAAGCATAACAAACCAGGAAACGACACTTAGACCGTGGGACCGTTAACACCCCACCATCTAGCTGACCCACCAAGAAGTATTTGGAACCAGAACAGACCCACAATACAGAAAACAGGACCGGACCAAAAGAAAAAAAACCCGTGGCTGAAGCGGTGAAGTTGATGAAATTTCTTGGTTGTAAGCTATTTTTTTTTTTTGTAGTAACCTGAATAATAATGCACCCTCACCCATCCCACCATAAAAAAACTTGTTAATTTGAATTTTTAATTTTTTTTCTCTATACGCGATATTTGGATTATATAATTGTTAAGCATCAGGGATATTTTATAATTAGGCTATTATTGTAAAGAAGGGATATTTTTAGGATGTATTTTTTTGACATTATTATGGTATTTGTATATATTTTGTTGTAAATGTCTCTTCCAAGCATTGGGGTCCAATGCTTCATGGAGGGGGGACATATGTCAACTAGCTGCTTAGGAAAGGAGGACCTGGTATTCAACCTTATTAATTTAATTGCCAATTCGATCGAATTTTTATTGCAATTCAGCAATAAATTGATATAAATTGCGCTGCAAGCCGCAGCAAAGGCAGACTTAAACCAGTGCAAGTACCTCTCGTTGGAAAAGCCCCTCTGGAATTAAGTCTCCCCAGTGCAAGTACCTCTCGTTGGGAAAGCCCCTCTGAGTATCTTCAGCCTTATCTTTGTCCAGTGCAATTACCTCTCGTTGGGAACGCCCCTCTGGACAAGGCATAAGGGTGACGATAAACTAACCTACAGTCCCCCAAGCAGCATTGGTACGAAGGGTCATATATCTTATAGGGTTAGCGTACATGTAAGGTTATATTTGGGAAAATATATATCTATATTTTTATATAACCTGAGCGAGTTTCTCTCCATCAACCCCCAAAGCTACAAACCCCCCATGTCACCCCCGTAAAGCGGGCAGTTGTGACAATATCTAAGACCAATATTTGTTAAACTTCAAGTGCTTATTATCCAATATCTTCTTATGTGGTGATTTCATTCATCCCACAGTTAGAGCTGTGAGCTCTTAGGACCGCATATTTGTCTCTGGTGGAGTCACACATTACTTATGGAATTGCATTTTGGGGCTGTTCTGTTGCAGTACCTACTCCAAATTTCAACTCTAAATTTTAAGACTGCCCTTTCGACAATCTTGCAAACCTAGCTTCATTTCTGATAGAATTTTATCGGTGCCATGCTTATATCTAAGTATATACTCGAAAGTGTTTGCCAACTATTACCAAGTTTCTTTGGAAGGCACTATTTCACTAGGCAAGCTAATAATATTCCACTGCCAATTCCGAGAAGCACTTTGATGAAAAATTCTTCTGTTCATTTTGCGAAGAAAGCCTTCAATTTTGGTTGAGAAAGGGGGTGAGGGAACTACTCTTGACTAAAGCCTACTGTAGGTAATGTATATGAAGATGAATTCTTTGGAAAAACCTTGTGATTAAAAATTTAACGTTTAGGTGAAATTTTGAATGGTTCTTATAGATATAAGTTTTATTATTTAAGATGTTATGCTTTGTCAATGAAAAGTTTTTTCTGGACTATATAAGTACTTTTTCATTTGATTTCATTATGTATACGTACAGTGACACAAATCTCGAGCAGTCATATGATAAGAATCTGCAATGAGATTTCACACACCGATCGCTGACGTCTCTTTTTATTTCCTTTTTTCCTTGGTACAGGTACTGTTCGTACTATCATTATGTACCTGTTAGACTTGGACACAAACTGTTGAATGCCGCTTTCTTTTTTTTTTTTTGTTTCCCTGATTCCGCTGACGTCGACATTTGTCTGTTTTGGGACATTAGCCATTAGTTGTATTCCTTTCAAGAGCTTGAAACACTTGAGCTACTCGCTCCGGTGTTTAGTCGCCCCCGATTTGCAGGAATTGCAGGGAACAGATGCGTGGTGGAACAAACACTTTTCGAAAGGAATAAGCGCGTTAAGCCCCGGAGCTGTCCCGGAGCTCCTCCTAGGTGTGAAAGGAATACAACTATTACCTACGTTTATTCCTCAAGGTCTTAGATGTTCCAGAAACAATTTCCGTGTTCATGATTCATGATGTTCTGAGGGTCGTTGGTGGCACTTTTTGATGCCTTCGTTTTTACCAAGTAGCAGACCCATTGCCTCAATATTCAACATTGAGGATCAAGTGACTTTCTCTCAAAATTTTCTTCCTCTAGCCTTTGATAAGCGAATATCTATCTGTATATGGCAGAAGTTTCTTTTCTGTGTGCTTAATCCCTCACCTACAGGGTGACAGCATCGAGTCAAGATAAAATCTGGTTTTTTTTTTAAAGAAAACAACAAGGTTGTTACTTCTCCTCCTTTCTCCTCACTTGAAGGATGAGACCCTAGTTCTGGACTACGATTCATCAATCCAAAGACCTCTAATTTATACCTTCTTTTATTTCATTAACCTTATCACAACAAAACAGATGAAGTCGCTTCCTCCTTTAATCCTCAACAGATGGCAGCATTTATGCCTCTTAGTATGTTTGTATGCTATTGTGCCAATGACGTTAAGCCTGAATAGCCAGGACAAGCCTTACATAAAACTGTCTCAACCTACACGCAACGTGTAATAGATTTTTCTAGAATGAACTAAAACTGCCTTGTCTTGTTTCTTTAGGCTTAACGTCATTAGATCGGGCCCATCCGATGTTCCAGCTGCTAGCTACTGTAACCATGCAATAATTGTTACAAATACAAATTCCATTTATTTTCTTTAGGTGGCATTTGCGACTTATAAAACTATTTTGAGCCTTGAGGAAATAATTAACTTCTGGAATCATGTTACTTCTCATGGTAATTGCAGGAGTTAACTTTTAGTTATCTGTCAATAGTTATTTGTATACCAAAATCGCGAAATGCCTTTTTAGCGTACGTAGAGAAAAGTTATCGCCACGGCCGCTTGCGGACGAGTAACCTCGAAGAAGCTAATAAGTTTTGCGGTCATGGTATAAACCAAACACTATTTTTTTTGTGCAACTGTAAAAATTATGTAAAATTACAGAAAAGCTGTATGGATTCAACAAGGATTTGACACATTTTGCACGTAAGGTGTGGCGGCCGCGAAAGCTCATTTCGCGGACGGTTGCACAAAACATTATTGTACATTGTACCATCTTTATCCTCCTCATAAATAATAGATATGTATACAAATATCATATTGGGCATTTACCTATACTATAATGTAATATCACACAAGTCTGGATATCAATTTTTATAGGTTTTTGATGTAAATAGTGTCAGTAATGACCCTTGTTGCCTAGAATCTTTAACAATCAATGCCGACTCCGTCCTATACAATCTGGATCTAGATGGACATATTGATTATGGAGAAATTAAAGGAGGCGTTCTTTTGAAACGACTGCTTCCTATAACTAATAAAGCAAAATGTGAGGTTATTCTTAAGTGAGTACCTACTACCTATATTTGTTATCAAACTTGAATAAATATAATGTTTTAATAGGATTGAAATGGTAAACAATCCATTAGAATCAAACAACTTCGTGAGGGAGTACTTCAAAGTGCAACCACTCTTATTAAATGTAGGATCACAAAAAACGGAAAATCTATCCATTATTCTACATTCCAAATGTAATTTCTCGGCACAAAATCTTTTGATTTTTGTTGTCAGTATGGTGGAGAGCATTCAAACAGGTCATGTTATTAAGTCGTACAAGGTGACGATAAGTGCTACTTGTTTTATGCCAAAGTAAGTAGAAAATATTGTATAAGTGTTTCTGATTTACTAATGAAGCTATTTTTTCTAGCTTTACCATTTGTCCTTTGTCTCGTGTCAATTTCGGATACGTGCCGGTACGGAATACGAAAAAACAAATTATGGAGATATCTAATAGAGGCAAATTTTCGTTTAATTTTAATCTAATTAACTATGCAAAATTTTCGGAAAAAGGTAATTGAAATTCCCATTTTTAAAAAACTATGCTGACATTTCGATAGTAGATTGACATGGAATTAACAACACGGTAAAAAATATTAGTTAAAGCAAAAGTAAACTTTATTTTTGTTTTTATGCGTGTTGTTGGGCAACAAAATTTCTATCATTCTTTAATTGTAACCATTAAAACGTCGGTATAATTTTTGAAAAAAAGAATCTTTCCTATTATACCGGGTGGTCCTCCGGGAATGACATCGATTGCTTATGGGAAAACTGTGAAAGGTAAAAATTTGAAAATTTGGCAACATAGCAATGTCGATGGGGGACATCTAGGTAAAATATTTTCAAGATGGCGGCATTTCCGGTCATACCGGAAGTTGATACCAACTCGGTTATTTTAAATAGAACACCCCATATATTAATGTATTTTTGGATTCTACATAAAATTCTGAGCAGATTTCATGTAATATACCCTATACCTAAGTTCAACTGTTTTGGAAATATTGACAGTTGAAAATTGACTTTTTGCAACTTTGACAAGCTGTAAAACCTAATTGGTTAATTTTAGAGGAAAACCGATTTCACGTTCCTATCTTAGATTTTGATAAACTATCATTTGACACCAACTTTGAACTTAAACGGAGATTAAATTTAACTGAAATTTTTAATCATGGATTTAATTCAAAGTTGATGTCAAATGATAGTTTATAAAAATCTAAGATAGGAATGTGAAATCGGTTTTCCTCTAAAATTAACCAATTAGGTTTTACAGCTTGTCAAAGTTGCAAAAAGTCAATTTTCAACTGTCAATATTTCCAAAACAGTTGAACTTAGGTATAGGGTATATTACATGAAATCTGCTCAGAATTTTATGTAGAATCCAAAAATACATTAATATATGGGGTGTTCTATTTAAAATAACCGAGTTGGTATCAACTTCCGGTATGACCGGAAATGCCGCCATCTTGAAAATATTTTACCTAGATGTCCCCCATCGACATTGCTATGTTGCCAAATTTTCAAATTTTTACCTTTCACAGTTTTCCCATAAGCAATCGATGTCATTCCCGAAGGACCACCCTGTATAGTAAACTGCACATTAACACCCCTTCAGCATTAATTAAGAAGTTTCCAGTTTTCTGATATTTCATATTTTAACATCAAATTTTTGAGCAGCTATCGAAATTCGGAAAGAAAAGAAGACGAAAGATGTTAAAGTTGATACTAAAAACGAAAACAAAGCAAACAGCGAAAAGGCAACAAGAAACAAATCAGACATTAGTAAAGGGACAAGTAAAACGTATTCTTATCACATACGCCAAATTTCCCACATATTTACGTTACATTCTAAATATTCTAGTGATAAGAAAAAGCAAATTGCAATGTCAAAATTGGAAGCGGGTTCCTTTAGTATTAGTCCCTCGAGCGGAATTGTAGAACCAAACGAAACCGTTACCATCGAAGTAGAAATTACGCCTGATGAGGTAAAACAATACGATGAGAAAATACTTATACATATTCTGGAAATTGAAAACATGCAAAAACAAAAAGTTGTCAACTTACAAGCTGTTGGATGTGAACCAAAAATAAACTTCAGAGATTTTGAGAAGGTTTTTGCAGAACAATATTTTGTAAAAAAAATTGAGGAGTTTATTCCACCAAGAAATGTAAGAAACCTTGATTTGTCTTATTTTTTTCGAATACAGATTTAATTTAGGTGGATGGTTGTTGCATCTTCTCATCTTCTGAAAGGATGTTATATTTCGAATTAGTTTGTGTTGAAACATCCTTTTCAACTAAACTTCATTTAACGAATATTGGATACGCAACGTCACAATTAACAGCGAGAATAGATGAATCTATAAGCAAACAAGCATTTTCAGTAACACCGATTAGTCAAACTCTGGATCCGCATTCTACGCAGTTTGTAAAAGTTACGTTTTCGCCTAGATCTTTGGATGTAAGCAAGTTTTCATTTGAATCTATATGCTAATATTCTATGTTTTTAATCTTTAGCCCATAACAGGAAGTTTAGAAATTACCTATAACGCAACTTCCGATAACAAATTAACAATATCACTTCATGGTAGAGCTTGTCTACCTCAAATCCAACTTTTAAAACCGTTAACTGATTCTAACGAAGTTTCCTTGGAGCTTGAACCAATTTGTGCTGGGCACAGAAAGGAGGCAAGAGTAAGCTTCAAGAATATCAGTGAAATAAAATGCAAAGTGATTCTGGAACTGTCTTCATCTAATGATGTCTTTTCAATTGTTCCTGTTGGCTCAACTTTGCAAATGTTGAATGTGCAAGATTGTAAGTACCCTAAATGTCTATTAAAAATATACGAAAATATCACTTTTATAACAACGAATTTGAATACAGAAGCACAGCATACTTTTTGGATAGGCTAGGTTTATTCAATTCAAACAAGCGGGTCTATAATAATTGTACAATCGTTCCCTTGATGTGAGAAGTCTTGTGACTAGAAAAAGGTGGCAGAGAATGACTGATTACACTCTGAGCACCTATTTCTTCTCTGTTGTCGAATACTTGATAGGGTGCGTAGTAACACTCTGTAGTAAGCAGTTGACTGTTAGATGTGATTGAGTACAAACCTTCGTACAAACGACTGATGATTTAATACTAATTTATTTAAGGAACGGTAACACTATTTATATACAAATAAATGCAATATTTACAAAGGTAATTAACTAATAAATTAACTAAAGTGCTGACACAATATGTGTTTTACTGACCCACTGTTCGTAATGTCGATGACTTAAAAAATGCTTGGCTAGCAAGGTAAATAGAAATTAATTAATATATTTATCACAAGATAATAGGTTTTAAATTTGGAAGAAAATATGGCTAATTTGTAATTAGACATTCTGGCCACTCAGTTCTGGAAAAAAATGACTTATCTGTGATTTGACATTCTGGCCACTCGGCTTCTGGGACCTCGGCTTCTCATTGCCTGGAGTTGGAGTTGGTGTCACTGAACATAACGGCTCTAAGGTTAACGTTTGTTCAGCCAAGGCTTGTCCTGGTGTGTAGGTATTGTGCCTACTGAATTTCTTTCTTTGCAAATAAAACCATATTAGAAGCATTGCAGTCACTCCCAGTATTAGTAGTACTATGGAGCTACTAATAATTAGATGATGGTGTACTTGAGTTTATTTGACGTCTTGTAATTGTTGATCGATGTCTTGTTCTTCACTCTGATGAAGATGAGACAGTTGATCGGAGGTATCAATAACTTGTTCGTCGTAGGGAATCATGGTGATTTCCTTGGTAGGTTGAAATCTTTCCAAACTTAGTTCTACTGGGCGGACGAAAGCTCCGAAAACAGTTACAGATTCCGATCTTCTCGGTGTCAAAATATTTATTTTTCTTTGTTTTAATGAGTCAATTTGATGAAATTTCGATAATTGTGGTCTGGTTTATTGTGGCCTGATACCAGATAATCGCGATTTTTATTACCAGTACAATATTACCATATGTTACTGTTGTGAGACAGTATTCTTGAATTGGATATTTTTTGTCGAACCGCCACAGAACTTTTTGAAATTTCCGATCGTCGGATGGATTTGATTTGTCTATATATTTTTTCATTGTCAGCTGTGATAACTATTCTGTGTGATCTCCAACGTAAAAGAATATCCAAAAGCTCTTGCTATAATTTGGGATCAGTATGCATTGTTTCGTTCAGGCTGGACTCAGAAGATGTCTTGCTGGATGCATCAAAGACTACTCGTAACTTGATTCTTTTAAAACATGGTGATGAGGAATGTAGTATGAATTTTGAAAATTCTGTATCTTTTTCGTCGCAGATTTTCATGTGTCCCAGACCTAGGTAATCTTGCATACATTGTTTGTAAATTGTAGGTGAAGTCGAGTCTCTCTTCTCTTAAGAGCTTTTTCTCTAATTGGTTAAGTCTTGCTGCAGCTCTCTGTTTTGATATTCCCAGAGTTTGTTATTTGCCATTGAACGGTATTCTCGCAGTGTAAGTACCATCTTTGTCTCTGGTTGTGTTTAGAGCATATTGTTCCTCACAGATCTCCTCATCTTGAGTCATTTGTCTTAGTTGGGAGATTTCCTCAATTTCCCAGAATTTGGTTAGCTGTAGATCTTCTTGAATGCCGATTGTCACTGTTAGAAATTGGAGTTTTTAATCTTTGTTAATTCCAGTGTTTCCAGAAAATATCCATCCGAATTCGGTATTCTGTCCCAGTATGCCATCATTCGTTTTCCTGACGCCTTCAAGTAAAATTTGAGCGTATTCTTTGGCGTCCAAAATAATGTCAATTGGACCAGGCTTCTGAAATGTAGGATTCCCCATAAGGTCATTGTTCCACTGAGAAATATTGTCATCTAATGGCTTTCCAGGTAATGTCTGTGTGAGTTTAGGCAGTACAAGGAACACGATGTCCAACAAGTATCTAGTAATTGGAATCTTGCCTGTAGAAATCTCTTCATTACGACAAAATCTTGTAATTTATGGGGCTCTTTTAATGATTGTTCGTATAGTTTGTTTGTTTTTCAGAGCTTCCAAACATTCGATGATGGTGTCATGCAGCTGTTTTATTTTTGATGCTGATTCCTGCTGAATCGCAGGAATATCCAATATTCTGTCTATTGATTTTGAGATGATATCTTTCGTTGCTGTAACGATCGCTTAAGATTTGCCATGCTGTCTGATAGTTAATGTCTGAAATTTGAGTCTGCTGGCTTCTCCTCGAATATGGATTTTGAGGTACTGCATCTTCTCAATCTGCGTCAGATTTTTGTCTCCATGGACTACCTTCCTGAATATGTCTCGGAAAGTTACCCATTCTTCATACTGACCATCGAAAAACGGTAACTTTATCTGAGGAAGACTGATATTGCATAATTTTGGTGCTTCAGTCAGAATATCCTGGCCTCGGATTTTGGATTGCAAGGTTTCTAGAACATCTTCATATTTGAGCTCTATTTCTTCGTAGGGATTCTTAAATGTTTTAGAACGGCCCTGAACTTGTAGCTCAATGTATATCTCGGAGATGGTCTCCCAATGCTTCATGCTTCAAAACTTCGAAATTTTGTTGTATAATAGTTGATAACGACTGATTGATTTCTCCAGCTGCAAGTAGAGTTGATTGATTCGAACATCTTCTTCCTTCAGTCGGTTTGGCGGAGCTTGCAGCGCTTGGCTTGAGGATGTCGCTGTTGCTCCTTCTTACCAATAATGTACGCTATGGCACAATTGCGTCCATAGAACATTTTTCAGGGGGGGGGGCAAAAACTTGACTTATTTTTAGTTTTTAAATAATATTAGATTATACCACGAGTCAATAATTATAGCAATTATTCCCGAGGAATATTTACGAACTGAGCCGCGTTAACGGCGACGGAGTAACATTCCGAGGGAATAATAGCCATTATTGCGAGTAGTATATACTCTACTTTATTTACGGCAATAATGCCCATTAATCCCTCGCGGGAATAATATATGGCATTATACCCAATATCACAAATATAATACTTAGGTAGATACATTATATGTCAGTCGTAAATAAAACCATTTATGTAAAGTCCGTCGATTTTAATCTGATACTCCAAAAAAATGTGAGCTGGTGGCTCCCTATGTTAAAACGTTAATGGTTACCTCACGTCACACCTGTTTTTATGTGGTTTTTGCCATGTGCTTCACCCCCTCACTCCTCATATGGCAAGTATCAGATAAAAAACGATGGCCAATAGGTAACCATACGTATATTACTGAATAAACAATGGCAGTCTAAACTGTACTCATTTGTAATAACGTCATTTTAAAAAATAAACACACATTGCACAGACAGAAGGACGATTTGACAATTATTATTTATTGTGTAAGCAACTTTTAGTATCACTTTCGCTATTCTGTTTTTTTATTCTTCTGGTAGCAATGGTAGCATCATGAAACAATAATAATCTCTAGGCCTAGGGAGGGGGCAAGTCATTTGCCCCCCCTCCCTATGGACGTCCCTGCTATGGCATCATTATAGATTTTGGTAAGTTGTTCCGTGTACTTATCGGTGTAGTATCATGATAATGACACTCTTGTTCACCAATTTCCGCGTTCCCAGACTGACTCGAGCACATTTATTTTGTCTTGATAATATTGCTCGGTTTTTCTGCTTGTAGAGTCTTTCTTAAAATTGGTTAGGTGGCGTTGAATTTCCTTTCCCAATGTTAATTGGCATTTAGCCAATGTGTTGATAGTGTCCATTGGTATAATTGTATTATGTTATCTTTGTTTGTGTAGCGTTTGTGCTTAGACCGGTGTCTAAAGGGTCATTTACATCCACTTAACTTAACTTAACGTACGGAAAATTATAATTAACGAATGAAACTGAGAAGGTGTGTGTTTACAATGAAGTTAATTTTCCTACGTGTAATCACCAATGACATTGATATTGATAATCCCTGTATACTTTCGATCTGAACAAACTGATTGTGATCACATGAGGTTTGTTCATGAGGCGTCAAAAAACCAGCTGGGGATAATGAAATCGATGTTACACCGGATAAAAATTGTTTGAAACAAACCTCAAGTGACTCCGATCAGTTTGTTCAGATCGAAAGAATACTTCTCAATTCCATTTATATTCATTATTGAAATTGACGTACGGATTTCCTTAAGTTTAAGTTGGTTCAACTTTTCGTCTGTTACGTTAATTTTCTTAATTTTTGAGTGAATGTTAACAACTACATATAAGTACATGATCTTCAACTTTTTTTTATTATTAATTATAATTAATTGTTATGAATTGGTGTAAAACTATTGAGGCTGAAAGTGTATTGAGAAAAAATAGGGAATTAAATGGATAACTGAAAAAAAACACTCCCACCCAAGGTATACTTGGGTACCGCGCAGGCTCGAGAGAATCCGAATCAGTCGAGATGCTGCAACCAGACAGGGCACTTGCGACAGCCGGGACGAAATGTATAACCAGACAAAGCATTGCTATACAAGGAGGTTGATTTTAGTAGGTAGGGCTTTCACCAGACAAGGCATTTGCGATAGGGTGTGTATGTGTAGGTGTGTGTTTGTGTGAATATGTATTCACGGTTTGAAGGACCAAATAAATGTACAATCGTTCCCTTGATGTGAGAAGTATTGTATCTAGAAAAGGTGGCAGAGAATGACTGATTACACTCTGAGCACCTACTTCTTCTTTGGTGTCGAATACTGGATAGGGTGCCTAGTAATACTCGGTAGTAAGCAGTTGACTGTTAGGTATGATTGAGTACAATTATTATTCTATCATAATATATTTATTCCAATAATATAAACAGTGAGGCATGTAAATTACATACTCAAATAAGCTCTCTATGCTATACTCTACACTCTATATAAACAGTGCTGCAAAAATCTGACAGTGTTCATAAACATAGGTACCTACTTAGTGCATGCGGTTTGGAGATTTTAATTTATTTGTTATGTTTTGTTACAAATAAAACTGAATTTGTTACTTTAAGATAAAATAACCTAGGGTCGTGGAATTCAAAAATTAAGATAACGTGTAGTCCCTTTATGTGCAAATGAAACCACTCAAAATCCAACAAACAATAATTTAATTTAATATTTAACAATGTTTTAAGTAACAGTAAATGTTACTGTAAATATTTAATGTTGACAGCTTGGTTTTTCTGGTGAATCTGATACCAAGTACCTTTCCAATCCGGAGCTCTTCAATGGGTGTTGGGGTTTCACTTTCGTGAACCGGAGCTCTTCGTTTTGTTTCCTGTATCCAGGAAGAGGATAGATTACTGGGGTGACGTCACTCCAGCTGATCCAGACTCCAAACAGTGATCTTTATGTAGAATAGGTACCCAGAAAAGAATAAGGCAGTATTAGGTTCACCAATATTTGGAATATTAAATTCCTGAATTCTGTCAAAAAGTGAGTGTCTTGCAAAGTAAATTGAAATTGAAATTTAATATAAAACGATTGTTATACAGACACTCCCTTCCAACAGAATCAGGTATAAACAGCTATTGCAAGTTAAAAAAAAAAATATTTTAATATAAAAGAAATACAATTAAATAATTGAGAATAATTGAAAGATAATAATAAAATTAAAATAATAACAAGATTGAATTAAAATGCTCGTTATGATTGATCAAAATGCTGCTTTCCTGACAGCAGTTCTGGCAGGCAAAAATATGAGCAAAAATAAGGTAAAACAATAAGAAATTAAATCTTTGGATTCTCCCCTAAATAGACAAAATTTCCCTTTCAAATTAAGGTAGCTACCATAGATACAAGATAAACCTGGGGTTGAAATTAATCAAATCCAGAATATGTCAAAATTCTTGAGATATTTTAATTAAAACGTTTTTAACTTTGACCTGTCTGGATTTCTATTAAAAATTTACACCCTTCAGTCGAGATAATAATTGACGGAGTCAAACAGAAATGGCTATTCAGGCCTCTGCCTGGATTCAAGAAAAAGTTGATAGGGATGGACACACAAATTTGGTTTTTCACCGACTCTATTTAGAGCAAATTGTCCAATATTCCCACACTAACAATTGATTTTGAAAACCAGAGCAGCAGTACCTTTTTAAAATCCAAAAAATCTGACTTACCTCAAAAGAAACGTGGCAGAGGATCCAAAAATTCAAAGCAAAATTATTCGAAATAAAGTGGACTTGCTTGCCAGACTTCTGTTTTAGGAAAGAGAACGTTTTAGAAACCAACGTCTACAGGAAAACGATCCTGTGCTCTTTTTATATTCAACTGCATTTTAACCAGTTCGACCAATCAGACGAGTACAGCCAAAAGACCATATTTACTTCACAATGAAAACACAATGAAAAAGCGCGTGGAATAAAAGAGAATCGATAAAAATCCACTAGATTTATTTTAATTGTTTACAAATTATAATAATTTAAATTAAGGTTATGTCAAAAAATGATTATTTCAGAATCAGAAGTTAAAAAAGGACAGAAATATATCCATCTGCTAAAAGTGAGATAAATATAATTTATCCCATTTTGACGTTTAAAAATGACATTATCACCTCAGTGATTTAAAAACATTTTAACTCACTCTCGGCATTTTGAGTCACTCTGCTCAACTAAAAATCTCAGTGATTTAAAATATTTTTAACTCACTTCCAGCATTTTTCCTACTTTATTTTTAAAATTTTCACAAAATGGGATAAAATTTTGTATACATCACGTGAGTTAAAATGTTTATTCATTCGAAGAAATTTAACCCACTCGCTAGGGCTCGTGGGTTAAACTTTTTTCTCGTGAATAAACATTAATTTAACTCACTTGGTGTATCAATAACTAATTTTTCAATGAAAATACAAATGACTGTCAAATATGAAATAATTAAAATCATACTTTGAAAATTAAATCCATCAGGTACTAGATGGCAGTACTAGTAAATGAATAAAATATATTTGCATTTTATAGACTGTGAGAGAGGGGCTGTTTAGTGGAGTCATTTTTTTTTTGTCTGGCATTTTGAGGGCTGAATGTGGCTAATAAGCTGATGAGAAAATAGGGGGATTTTAATGCCGGCCTCACGTTCGAAAATTTGCGGAAGAAAAAAATTGATTTACATGAAGCATTTTTTTTTAATGATCTCAAATTTTCTAGCTTTTAAATAAAAGATTGACAGTGATAAATAATTCACCCATGAAAAATATCAGATGCTTTTCAATAGCTGAAAAAATGGGGATGGGTGTCAACTTCCAAGAGAAAAGAAAACCTTCCGCATTTACTTTTTGTCTGGAAAGCGAAAGAATGAAAGGTTTTGTTGTGAAAATAACGCTGACAAATCGCCAGACGGTAATCACAGTTCGAAATCGAGTTTTCCGGCGAAACATTCTGTGGACATTTCGAACAGGAGGCAGGCATTAAAACCACTTATATTCTCATCAGCTAACTAGTCACATTCATCCCTCAAAATGCCAGACAAAAAAAAATGACTCCACTAAACAGGCCCTATCTCAGGGTCTATTACGCAAATGATGGATAGATGGCAGCACTTGTATTATTTGAATTTGAATTTGAACTTTGTGTATATTTTAGATTATTTGGCTGATTCCAAATTGGAAAAAATACGACCTTACAATGTAAATAAGAAGAGATGGAACATGTTACGTAAATGATAAATTTATCGTAACAGTTTCCAATTGCGGTTGGCATAATTTGTTTAACTTAGGTCAGTAGTCAATAGACCAAGTGTTCATTTAGATTTATGTTTATTAAATTTAACTATGAATTTGTATAAAGGTAGGATACTTACAAAAAGTGAATATGTAGTATATTGATCTTATTTTACCAGTCTGTTCAATAAAGTAATTGGATGAACAAATCTTATGCTTTCTGTAAATTATCTTCAACTTGTATTTCTGCAAAATATTCATTTAACCTATATAATGCATTACACACCATACACAATCCACCCCATGCAACAACTCCAATCTCAAAAGTAATTCAACCAGGGTACTTATAAACCCCTGTGAGCTCCCTCAACTCATCACATTTTTAAGTGTTAAGGTTCAGGATAATCATAAAATAATTCTATCAGCTCTTTAAGCCATTTTTCTTTGTGCTCCTTCCGAGGCTCCTTCATTAAATTTGTTTATAATTATTCAATGTTTAATCCATAAATTATTATTAAACCGCCGACTAAGTTATTTTTGGAATTCCGGGTTTAGGTACCTACCTATTCAATAATTAATTTCACATCAATATTTCAGCTTCACGGTATATGGTCAATTTATTAGTAGATGACATAGCAGAGTTCGATGTGATATGTAAACCGAAAGAACGGACAAGAAATCAAGTTACTTTAAGCTTACATACAGTATATAATCCTTACGAAGTAAATAAGGTAAATTACTAAATATTTTCAGTATTAAATTAGGTTAGGATAATAGGAAGGTTCTTGTTTGGCAAATTTATGGGTTCAATACCTATAAAAAATTAAGCATCGCCTCTCAAGTAAGCCATGTTTCGAAAAATGTATTGTCTTCTTCAGAGTTATTTATTGAGGCGATCCGTTGACCTTTCAGAATGATTTCAAATATCACGCCATGGCAAACACTGTTAACGTCAGTGATTGATTATGTATGATAATTGATTTTCATGATTTTTTTTTCAATTTTTATTTTTTATTTAACAATTATCTCCTATACTCCTGTTTGAAACTTGGGTCATCTAATTCTCTACTTGTCTCAAAAATATTTTAGTTCTGTCAAAGTTAAGTAAATATACCACCTCCTCCTCTTTCTCCAGATTCTCTAGTCAAAAAGTGATTTGATATCCACTCGACATTTTCTTTAGTTTTAATCGATGGTTTAAACTCACAATCACGCGTACTTCTAGGTTTGTAATTTTTCTTTTAATGCAAATCTAGGGTGAACTCAAAGATATAGCTATGCAGCGGTTAAACCGAACTAAAAGCCTGCTGCTTATGAGACTAAAAAATTACCAAGGAAAGGAGGTGCGTGCATGTGTCCGAATAAGGAAGAAAACAATTTTTATTTGACGAATTTTCTTTTATAGCAAAATAATTTACTCACAACAATTTGTACATAGAATAGAATACTTATTCTCGAGCGGAGCATCTGCTTTCCAGATTTTATTCATAACGTGAAGCATTTTCTCCAAATGATTGATTATGTAGTTATAAACTAAATGCTTATTTCATAAGACTGGCCTTGAACAATGGAGAATGGGAGCCTTTATTGAATAGCCTTGGAAAAAGTCAACAAATTTTTCAAAAATAAACTGACTTTCGCTTGTCAAATTGCCGTTGAACAATTATTTCATTTTAGTGATAAAATTTTTAGGTTTTAATAACAGCAGATAGCTACGACGACAACATAGTTCTAGAAGGTTTGAATGTAATAATTTTGAATCCATCCCAAGGATCCCAAGAATGCCAGAACTCTGTTAGAAAAATTCTTACAGAATATAACCTAAACTTTGGCTATAAAGTACTAAACAAAATATACAAAAAGACATTTAAAATTCGAAACAGATCCAATAAGCATACATATAAATTCATATTACATTCTTCGGTGGTTTTATTTGTTCCCGAAACCGGCCATTTGAATCCACGTGCTTTTAAAGAAATTACGGTTATATTCAAGTCGATGACGCCTGTATCATTGCAAAGAGTAAATTATCATTAAATTGCTGCAATTTATAATTTTTATCGGAAAAATTTTTTAAGGAAGAAATTGGCTGTATCGTTACCCAAATCGAATACCTTTATCCAGATGAACATCCTATTTCATGGGATGATCGTCTTAAATTTGCTCAAATGAACTCGTCCTGCGATCTGATGTCATACTTCAGTAAAAGTAGCTCTGTACATTCGTTATCATCAAATGAATCTCTATCTATAGAAGAAAGTAGTTCTTCCCTTATCGAAGACAGTACTGCTTCTCTAGAGTAAGTAGTATATTTGTATTAACAGTATGATAAATGTTAACATGCTTTTTTTCACAGAGAGGAAGAAGATGTAACTTCAGAATATTCGAAAACTACTAATCTGGAAGGAGACGAACCTGAAATAACTACTTTGCCTGATTCGATGGAGATGATTCCGTTGATTTTGACTGTATTCGCTGATTATTCTAGGTATAAATGTGAGACTAAAGCAATACAATTTGCGGACACGTATATTAACGAGGTGAGAATATTTTCAATACCTATCTTAAATATCTACAGCCTAAAAAGGCTCAGTGTCTGATGAAAAAAATATTTATTTCAGGAAAATATTAAAAATGTCGAGGTAGAAAATATCGGAAACGTGCCATTACTTATATCTTGGACAATAAATAATAGGGCTCGTTGTAAAAGTTCAACGTCTCAAACGTGTATTCCAAAAAACAAATTTTGGGAAGGTACTTCATTGAAATCAAATCTTGTTCAATTTTCAAAATAATAATGTTTTCCATAGAAGTTTCTACCAGAAGCGCTAGTTCATGTGAACTGTTGTCCAATTTCTCTTTTGAATCAGATCCATCTGTTCCTATTGTGGTATATCCCGGAAAAATTATCATTGAGCCAGGAAGTACTGGCATTATCAATTTACGGTTTCTTCCAAAAACTGAAGACAATTTTGAAGCAATACTTCAATCCAATGTGGATACATTAGATCCGACTTTGGACAAAATCAATATCGAATTGAAGGCCAAATCTCTTCCAATACCGTTTTATTTTGAAATGGAAGATAAAACTACGAGTAGTACAGTGGCTTCTTTAGAATTCGATAACATTGGTGTTGTCACAGAATCAGCAAGGTATGCATTATTAAACACTTTAAGCCGGTCCTAAATTTCAAACGTATCCGTATCCGCATCGATCTGCGCATGCGCAGAATAAATACGGTGGTTTCTTGCGTTGCGTTGTCCGTATCGTTACGAGCCTAGCCTCGTATCCGTATCCGAAAACGTATCTCAATCATTTGACACTATTGGGAGATCTTCCTGTCAGTTATGACATCACTGAAATAACTTTAACAACATAAACATAGTACTTATAGATAAAAAGAGAACCTATAAACGCAGCTACAAAATCAATACAACATTTTTTGAGGTTAGAAAACGTTTCATCCAAGGATACGATCGTTTACGTAATGTATGGCCATGCTTAAAGTGAATTTTAGGCGGTCAACGTAAGTCGATGCGTTTACGGATGCGGATGCGGATACGGATACGTAAAAAAATTTAGGGTTTGCTTAAAGTGTCTATTATCACCCGTATGCACCGTATGGACTTGTGAGTTTAATCTCGCTTAGTTCGAAAATTTGCATATAAAAAAAGAAGTCCTTATCTGGTTTAAGCAACTAATCTGGATTAAGTCCTTACGGTACATTTGGGCGTATGATTAACTGTAACCTAACCGTGCAATTTACGACACGCATTTCAGAAAATTATTTCTGGTAAATCCCAACGATGATTGTATTTCTTTTGAAATAATACCCAAGGACACCAGAGATTTTTCCCAATTCATTTGTGGCATTCCAAGGGGGACGATAACTGGGAAGACAAAGAATTTTACAACTTTCTATTTCCGCTCTCCAATGATAGGATCCTTCAAAGAAGAATACTTGGTTAAAATACCCGAAAAAAAGCTGCAAAAAAGTATTTTACTGCTCGGCCTATGTAGGGAGCCCAAGGTTTATTTTAACCAGAAAACTGTTGCGTTGAGAGCGACAGTGCCGAATGTGAAAAGTATTGGAACGATAAAATTGTGCAACGACGAAAAATTTCCGGTTTTGTTCAGGTTTGTTAAAAAAACGTTGAATTCGGAAAATCAACAAGAAAAACTTGAAATGTTTCCGAGTGTTGGAAAACTGCAACCTGAGGGAGAACAGAATATACGGTAAATAATATTCAAACCTAGTTATTTATTTATCTTACCATTGAAATTCATAGAGCTATAGAATCAAATGTTCTTGCCAGAATATCCAAACATTTTAAACAATAGGTATTATTCATCTTTTCAATTTTCAAAATTTAATGCTGGTGAAAATTATTTCGACAAACCTAAATCCTTATCGTTAGCTTTTTGATTATTAGAAAGGAAAACAAAACTCTTTGATTATTAATGATGGCGGTGAACTGTTATTCATCATAAACCACTTAGGTAACTACAGCTACAATTTCTCACAGGAAGAGATAATCATGGGTTTAGATGTTGGCTCTTCGCTTTTTATAAGTTCACCATTCCTGCCATTGAAGCACCAGTTAAAGGAGGTGTGACCCAAAAATAAAGGATTTAGAAAAAAAAATCTAAGAACAAATTTTCAAACCCCACTAGGCTACGACCAACCATTGCGAAGATAGCGTGGTATAAAGTTCCCATTCCTAGCACTGTGACGTCATATGCACATGCTGTATTTTAAGAAAAATGGTTTTCGATGAAATTGTCTAAAATTTGGATATACTGTGCTCCTGGACATTTTAAACAAAAATTAGATTTGGCACAAGAAATCCAACCCGCCATTCTCGAGTTATGGTAATATAAAAGATATCAGGTTCGCGCACAATAAATAGTTGGTCGATCCTTTGGTCGCATGCCTAGTTTTTATCATTCATGAATAATAAATATTTTGACCAGATTTATAACTGAGTTGTTACCTAATTGACGTTTTCAATTAAAAGAGATGGACAATAAAGTATGAAAACAATCATTTTCCCGCCAACATTTGCTTGCTTGTCAACGCCAGTGTGTATTAGACTATCCAAGATGCTGTCAAACTTAAATAAAAATGTTCGCAAAGAGGCACACAACCCTTTATAGTCTGGGAGACGACCGCATTTTTCCTACCCCGATCGAGTTATGTGTCGACACTATTATCAATATATAGTATTATGTGCATCTGTTAGCCTGTATTCCTGCCTGAGAGCAAATGCTGCCGGAAATATCTTTTAACAAATTATTAACAAATTGAAAAAAACGTAACACTACCCCCATCGAGTTATGCTCTAAGTAGGGTATCAGATTGAAGGTATCGATGTCCCCTATCCAAAAAGTCGATCCTGCCTCGTGAGAACTTGCCGGAAAACGGTGGCAGGACAGCTTATTTGGGCAAGGGCCCGCGGTCTCTGCTTTGACACCTATCAAGCTTTGCACTAAATGGTGTGTCAAATTAAAGGTGTCAATAAGTTGATTTAAGGTCTGTTCGCACAGAAATCACAAACCAGTCAGAGCGAATTTCATTGGTGGGAAACAGTCAGGAAACTAGTTTCAACCAATGAAATTCACTCCTTCTGGTTTGGGATTTCTGTGCGAAGAGACCTTAAATCAACTTATTAACACCTTTAATTTGACACATCATTCAGGGTAAAACTTGATAGGTGTCAAAGCTGAGACCGCGGGCCCTTGCCCCAATAAGCTGCCCTGCCATCCTTTTCCGGCAAGTTCTCACGAGGCAGGATCGACTTTTTAGATAGGGGACATCGAGACCTTCAATCTGATACCCTACTTAGGGCATAACCCGATGGGGGTAGTGTTACGTTTTTTTCAATTTGTTAATAATTTGTTAAAAGATATTTCCGGCAGCATTTGCTCTCAGGCAGGAATACTGGTTAATAGATGCACATAATACTATATATTGATAATAGTGTCGACACATAACTCGATCGGGGTAGGAAAAATGCGGTCGTCTCCCTAACTATTACTGGCTTGTCAAAAGTCACGTGTTTTGGATAGGTGCCTAACGAAGGTGATGTCAAACTTAAATTAAAATGTCCGCCAAGAGGCACACAAACCCTTTGTTTGCTTGTCAAAGTCACGTGTTTTGGATAGGCTAATTGGGTGTTTTGAAAGAAAATGTGGGAAAAGTCACTACTTCATATGCAGAATTTCGCTATGGAGAAAGCGGTGGATTATTTTGGAAGCAAACATCTCCCGCAAACTAAACTTTAACGTGGATTACTTTGTATACTTGATAGGCCGTGGATTTTCCTTTTTTTTGCGAGTATTCTTTCTGATTTTATGTATCCGGTAAATAGGAATTACTTTCACAAAAAGGCACACTACACAATCACCACTGTTAGGATAAAACTTTGAAAAAACCGAGAAAATAATAGTTTCCAGTTTCCACATGTACAAAAAAAAGTCTTGTCAACAAACCACTGTCAGCGGCTGCCAACCGTTGTTTTCATACTCTTTTGGCGTCTGACAGTTTGACGCCAGAGAGAGAGAGAGAGAGAGAGGCTTTTAAATTCAAAAGGTCAATTGGAATAATATAATTTTAGTTTTTAAAAATCATCATTATCATCATCATGGACATTTACTCGCTAACGAGTTCCTATTATAGGAATCTTTACAGCATCAGCATTATTCAGGCCTATGATGTATCCTCTCCTGTTATTTTAACAGTTGTGCTATAGCTCAAAATCTATACCTGTCTTTATTTTTACATGTAGAATAAACAGTGACAGATAACTTAACGTTGCTGTTAAAATAACAGAAAATGATACATCATAGGCCTGCTTTATCTGTGGGTTTTTTGATGACTATAAGCCTATTCTGGACCCATATTTCTCCCATATTGATTGCACACCCAATTAGCCGGAGCTAGTCGCTGTTGTAAACCAGCTTGAAATGATGAAAGTTTATATTTGTGCTATCACTTCTTTGGGTTGCCCTACAGCTGCTCAGACAAAGGTTTCAGGAGGCAATGGACATGGGTTTTTTATATTTGATGTTTTTTGTTGGGCGCCAGGCCTACAATAGGCCGAATAAAATAAAACCAATAATTTGAAACAATACAAATATCTATTTATTTTAAGAAAATCAATTATTAATTAATTCGAGTAATTGATTGATAGCAATTTGCATTAAATTGCAAATTGCAAAATTTAAACAAATTAAATATTTTGCACAGTAAATCTGCGTCATAAAAAATTCAAAACTTCCAGAAATATATCTAAAAAGTTTCCAAATAACAAGTTAAATTCTTATATATGTTACGATTAATATGCAAACTGGGATAGTTTGTAAACTAGCTGGATAGTTTACAAACTAACCATCCAACTGGTTATTTTGATAGGAAACGCAATTTTCACTAAAATAGCAGCTAGTATGCAAACTAACCAAGAGTCTTGGCTAATTTACTCGAAATCATTGAGAAAACTAAATTAGCTGGTTAGTGGTTAGAAACTTACCTAATTGTTTTACGGCCATTTGCACCGCTATAACTTAAGGGACATTTAATCCAAGTGTAGCTTTGGATGTGACTCTTGTAGAAACAAAAGTCACATTCAAAGCTCCACTTAGATCAAATATCCCTTAAGTGATAGCCGTGCAAATGGCCATTATTGGTTTTACCTATTTCAAGATTTGGTTGGGTTATATGCCTTATTTATTTCCTTTTTAGAATTATCAATTACCGTTTGCTGATTTTTTTTTGTGTGTGTGTTTCTGAATTTTCACATCCAATATAGTCCCCAGTACATCGACCCTAAAATTTTGTAACTCATGTACACGCCAAACTTCCTGAGCGGCTTCATAACACCAAGTCGGACAATTTTGCTCATATCTTCAACCTGGGCGATGGGACATTGTCGTGCTAGCTCTTCGTGAAGTTGTCATTCTGACGCCCCTGAGAATGGTGATACATGTACATATAATTTTAATTCCATTCGACTGTTTTTTTATATTATATTAACGATACCGCATTTGTCGGACAAAAATCTCGTGGCATTGGACGGGTCCGACGACCTTAACATGTTGCTGTTGGGGGTGTCCGACCCCCCCAATGCCACGAGATTTTTGTCCGACAAATGTGATATCGTTAATATAACATAGAAACAGTCGATTAGAATTAAAATTACATATACATGTATCACCGTTCTCAGGGACGTCAGAATGACAACTTCCCGAAGAGCTAGCGCGACAATGTCCCATCGCCCGGGTTGGAGATATGAACAAAATTGTCCGACTTGGTACTATGAAGCCGCTCAGGAAGTTTGGCGTGTACCTGAGTTTAAAAATTTTTCGGGTCGATGTACTGGGGACTAATATTTCATATACCTCAATTAATTTTTTATAATTCAGTGGTGCCCTTGCCATTCTGTACTTATCAAACTATTGATCCACCCCTAATAATTATTCGCTGAGCACACTGAGCATATTATGGGCCTCCTGTTAAATTGTTAACAAAAGGGGTTACATAAATCAGCGTCCAACTTAAGGGGCAACGAAACACCACATATTAACATATTAAAAAAATTACAGTTTGGTATAGTATTTACAAAGTCAGTTAAAACAAGGTAAAGGTAATTTGCAACTGGTAGTTGACTAGTGGCAGTGCATTTCTTGTGAAAATATGCAGTCACCAGTACCACCTTTACCTTGTTTCAACTGACTTTGTAAATACTATATTATCTTTTATCTTTTCTTTTGGCATAACTCAACTAGTTGACTTTAGGTATACCTACCAGTATTACTGGGGTGAACTCGAACTAATATATTTCTACAGTAACGTATTTTCCTATATCTTTAATTAGTCAAAGTAATCAAATATGGCAGATTCTATTAGCTCCCGACATTCACTTGTGTCTGAAATTGATTATAAGCTGAAGTTTAGAGGAGGCCTTACTAACTATGGTCGTCCTGAGAAAATAAAGCTTTTGAAGCGTCTTTTAGATAAAGAAGCTCAGGGTGCGACTGCAAACGTCAGTGTCTATAAATTTACCTTCAAGTCCCTAGAAATTGAAACCACAATTGGTAGCATCACTACCTTAGTTGTTGACTTTGAAGGCAGAATCAAAACCCGTCTCGCAGATGTTAAGGCACGTATCCAAAGAATTATCGTCCCTGAGGATGATACCAAAGACCAAGTTGAGAAATATAATCATGAGGCATATGTC